TTATTGATTAATCACTATAGACATGGATAAGGCGTAATGGTTTGATTATTTGGGAAGCGTTGGAAAGTACGTCGGGTAAAGGCTTGAAGCGTTGTCGGTGAAAAACAGGATTTCTGTTTTGGTGGTTCCCTACGTTCTGTAATTAATAATTAGGGCTTAACTCGTGAGTCGTGTGGATGATAAGCGAGGTTTGTTGGTTTTTTAGGTGATGTTTGGAATCATTAATGAATATTTTCTGATTTTTGGAATCAGCGATTTTTGAAAATCATAAAAAATTGTTGTTTGATGTCATTTATGCCATGTGTCAGTTTGATATTAACTTTTAAGGGCCGATTTATTTTTGTATTAGAGTTATTATTCATGTCATGTTCGATGCCATGTTATCCTTAAAAATTGGATCAGCTAAAAATCAAGAAATCACCAATAAAGGTGATTCAAGACTGATTTCAATAATTGATTTTTGACTGATTTTTTGAAAATCACTAAAATCAGCCAATTAAGTAAAAATTTCGACGTTGATTTCTCTACTTAATTAAATAGGGTCCATATTAATGTTTTCAACCCACTCTTGACCCTAATTGATCGAACCATTCGAATCATTACCTTACCAATTCTAGGTCTGATTCAGTCAAGATCAATCAGATAGTAAAAAACCGTTAACTTGGTCAAGAATCATTTGACCCAGCCTGTTCGATCATTGACCCGTTCGACCTGGTCATCAAGTCGCATGTTGCACACTCAATGTATGCAAACTTTCGGAGGCCATAACTTGCACTCCAATGTCCGATTGGAGTGATTTTATTTTATTTTATTTTGGGTAACCTTTCAAGATCTATGCGTTCCAAGGAGCTGTAGGCATCTTGCCTCGCTATTTTCACAAAAAACCCTTTTTTGGTCTCAACTTGCAATTTGTAATATTTTTATAAATAAAAAAATTAAAAACTGAATAAAAAATATAAATTAAATATAAAAACATAACATATCTAAAATATATTTATACATTATTTATTGATAAACCATATATATATAGATAGATAGATAGATAGATAGATAGATAGATAGATAGATAGATAAATAGAGAGAGAGAGAGAGAGAGAGAGAGAGAGAGAGAGATGATGACATGGCACGGTCTGAATCATTTGACCCCGCCGGTCGAATTGGTGACTTGTGACTTGAAGGCAAAGCGGTTTGGCCTCTGGGTTGCTTTTAAAAGCATTGGTCCATATGTCCAGTTCGATTTTGCTATGCAAATGTTGTTTATTTCTTGAGGCATGACAGATTCCAGTATTTGAATGGTTTCCTATCTTAAATGAAAAGATAAAAAGGAAATTCCCGATTAATACCCTGTACTTTGGGCCTAGTGCCACTTTGGTCATTGAACTTTAAAATGCAACAATTCAATACCCAAACTTTTAAAATGTGACAATCTACGTTGTTAAGTAGTTGCTAACCAATCGTTAAATGATATTTTAGAAAAGACAAAAATGCCCTTCAAGTGTTATTTAATTTTCTTTATCAATCATCTAAACATAGACAAAAAATTAATAGTCCCAAATTTTTGCCTTTTCCATTCAAAAAAGTTGGGATCACATTTGAGTGGACATTTTAATGCCTCCAACTTCCTTAAATAGAAAAGGCAAGAATTTGAGACTGTTATTTTTTTGTCAATATTTAAATAATTGATAAAAAAATTAAATATACTCAAACGACATTTATGTATTTTTTCAAAGGATTGTCATGTTTTGAAAGCTTTAATACAGGAATTTCCCAATGAAAAGAAAACATTTTCTGACCTAATGTATTGATGCTGGATTATGATTTCACACTTGCCGAGGTGAAATCAGCTACACCAGCGTACTGAAATCATGGCCTTCGGTGTATTATGTGGCCCCACCCTAACGTCATCTAACCAACTTTTTTAAGGTGGGGTTACATCAATGCATCAAGGGCCTGAGATTCATGTTTTATAGCTCATTGCTACGCAGCTGAGATTCTGTCTGACTTTTCTGAAATCATGGCCTTCGGTGTATTATGTGGCCCCATCCTAACGTCATCTAACAAACTTAAGGTGGGGTCACATCCATGCATCAAGGGCCTGAGATTGATGTTTTAGCTCATCGCTACGCAGCTGAGATTCTGTCTGACTTTTTTCGTCTTCTGCCTAGCCTAACCGTGGATGTATCGCTAGGATACATTCCCCAATGCACGGTTGAGATGTGCTATGGGGCATCATTCCGTGGGAGCCAATCCGAATTGAAATGTAGGGATATAAATGGATGTCGATCTAAATCCGATTCTATTTTTGTTGGATTCGGACAGATTTATATTTAGGTTGGATAATCGGATCCGATCGAAATTCGGATTGGATTTGGATCACCCCATTCGATCAGATTCAACCTTTATATATGTATATGTTTATAAATATATTTATTTATAAAAGATATATATATATATATTAATATATTTATTTATAAATATGTTTCTATTGTATTTTTTGTAAACTTTTGTATAGAAAGACATGTACATATTAATATATATGATGAAAATAATTGAAAAAAATATTTATATTTTTTGTTTTTATATAAACTTTTATGTTTTTTTCTTTTAATAATTTGTTAAAATTTTCATAATTTGAATTGAGTTGAATCAGATTTGAGTATCTAACATCTTTAATGGATTCGGATTCAAATCACCATTTGTGAGTTCAAATCAGCCCCCCATAAGATTGCCCCCCACAGTGTCCTACAACACATCCCCACCATGTATTGGGAACATCTCCCGATGATGACATCATCATTTCTGGTATATCATCGGGAAATGTTTCCTATACACAGTGGGGATGTGCTGTTGGACGTTGTGGAGGCCTAATTTGATCTCACCATTTGTGAGATCTGATCAAATTGAATCTCATATATGTGATATCGGATTGGATTTAGATATATACCCTTGAATCCAATCCGATTTAATTTGTTTGCATCCATATTCAGATGCTCGCACCTCTACCTTCTGTTTCCATGCTTTTCTAAGAGAATGAGAATCTCGAACTCCATGTGAAATTGCGAATTAGTTTCATCTTTGGTATTGATTATTGAAGGATCTCAAACCAAAGATGAGGCGTATGCTACGGTGCAACTTGAACGGGCTGGATTGGATTGAATTGAAGGTTAAACCAGGACCAATCCTAAAGTTAGGGCTTAGGGTATGAGCCCGAGGTCAAGTCCAATCTACCCAATACAGGTCCAGTCTGAACTAAAATTTTTAATACATTAGGATTTGGCCCGGGTCTGGGCCAGGTTTGGATTGGTGAATCAGACTCAAGTGAGCTTAGGTCCAATGCATTAAAATACCCTAAATCTTGCATTGTATATTTTGGGCCAAAATTAGACAGGACTTGGGCTTCCTTAGATCCATGATCAGCCCATAAAATGAAAAATCTAAAATTTTGACCCAAGCCCATTGGTTGAAAAGTATAGACTTCCTAACTAAAGTTCTGGGCTGAGTTGGTCTAGGCTCATGTTGCATTCCTAAGGAGATGTTCAATATTAAACCCATTCAGTCGAGTTCAGATCTCCTGTCCACACAAACTCTGCCCATGTTTATCGCAGTTACACATGAAAAACATCTCATCCTCTACATAGTATTATGCAAGGGGAGATATTCCAAATTTACAGAGGGTAGTGTGTTGTGGGTAGAGATGGGCAGAATTCTCGTAAGCAGGAGATCCGGAGTCCATTCAATTGACATGCTAGCTGCTTTATTTGAAATGTGAGAGGTCAAAGTAAAGAGAGGATTAAATACTTTCTCCCTGAAAATGGGGTGGAAGAAGCTGTTGTGGAATTTGACTGATAGCAGCTATAATTTAGAAATAGGTTGAAGAGATCATTTAGGGCTGCAAATGGATCAAATGAAATTTGGATTGAGTATATCCGAATCTAATGCGGTAAGAACCAAGAATCCTAAAGATTTGAATCCAACCCAATGTTTGACAAATATGCAAAAAGTAGATTTGAAATCTACATGTTCAGACATCTGATCTGGATTTGATTTGAATTAGATTTTATTAAAATATTAATAAGTTTATATAAAATTAGCATAAATTTACAAAAGTTATATTATAAATAGGAAAATAAATTTATATTAATCCCAAATACAACTTCATCCTAACGATTTTTTATAATCTCAATTCGATGTGAATATGTGATCAATGAATGGACCATTTTTCAGATCCGATTATAATAAAACGGGCCGAATTTGAATCCGAATTGGGTTTAATCCGATACATTTGCATCTACAGCTCAAAATTTCTTTTCCGTTTGCGTCTTGCCCAAGGAATAAAGCAGCCACGATTGAAATTTGACTGTTGACTACTGGTTCCGTAAACCTTGCACACGCCACAGTCTGTTTCTGATACGAGGAGGACAAACTCTGGTTTAATACGCCACTTAATTGGATTTTAATTACTGAATCATTACCTCACAGGGGCAACAGAATGAATGACACCGAAAAAAGCTTGGTAAAAGTCTTTCTCGGCCTAGATTTTTTGCTTGTTGGAAGCTTCATGTGAGCTTCAAAACAGTCCTTCTAAACAATCAAAACTTTTCTGCATTATTTCAAAATTTGACCGGGAATCGGAATGGCTTTGACCTTCGGTTTTTGGGACAGTGATTAAAAAAACTTTCCGATCAAATGGATTGACAGTTCAACTGCTTGAACCCGCGGAACATTTATGGGTAAAATGGAACCGATTGTTTGAACGATATCCAGAGCCAAATGGTCTGACCATCTGGGTTGACTGGGTCAATAACGGTTCGATCTAGAGCTAGACTTGTTACTAGAGACGATTACAATCTATGTTAGATAATAAGTGTTAATTAAACTTTTGAACATTGCAAATCCTGTCTAGGAGAGCAGTGATTTTGCTGAGGTGTCAGCTTGTCCATTTGTGGAAGCTTCAAATATATAGGGCCTCGATTGAGGGAGAGGGTGAGAGCACATCAAGAGAGAGAGAGAGAGAGATGGAAATGAATGAGGATGTAGTGATCGTGGGTGCAGGGATCGCGGGGTTAGCAACAGCTTTAGCTCTAAAGAAGGTTGGTATCCGATCTCTGGTTCTGGAGAGGTCGCAGGAGCTTCGCACCACCGGTGCAGCACTAACACTCTTCCCAAATGCCTGGCGCGCTCTTCAAGTTCTTGGAGTAGATCACAAGCTCACCTCCATTTACCCCTCCTTACAAAGGTACACTAGTATTTGAATTTGATTGAAACACTTGTTCCTATTCTATTTTTCAAATATCTAGAGAAGCTGGTTTTCATTTTTCAGCGCAAGTAGTGTTCATCTTGATTTGGGGACTGATCCTCCATAAATTGAACTTATCTCTGTTTTAATTACTATGAAATTAAACTATCTAGTAATTAATTCAGTGAATTGTTTTTGATTTATAGTTAAGTGAATTCTTGTGGGTCTTTCAGGGGATACATCACTAATATCGCAAGTGGAGCTACACAAGAGGTTTATTTTACGGGCTCTGAAAGGTTCGTAACATAAGAGGATTTTATTACGAGAGTACTCTCTTATTAATTATACCGGCTTCCTTCCATATTGGGTGGATACAAACTATTATATATAGAGCTTCATTCATGAGTAGATGGACTGATATTGATAAACATTTTACTCATTTGGAACCAGAAAAAAATTCGAGCCTAGAGCAGTTCACAGGAAAAACTTATTAGAGACTTTAGCAGAAGAATTGCCACCTGGTACAATTCGTTTCTCATCAAAGCTCAGTTCAATTGAGACCCAAACATTTGAAGGCTCATCCATTGCTATCCTACACTTGGATGATGGAACTCAAATCAAAGCCAAGGTTAGTCTCTATTGGGCTGGTTAGAATAGAGAGTTAAAGATCAAGAGTATTGAAATGTTTTGGATTGTGGAGTAGTTGATTCTCTTTTAATTTGGTCACGATAACAGGTTTTAATAGGCTGCGACGGGGTTCACTCAGTTGTGGCACGTTGGTTGGGACTCATGGATCCAGTCCATTCCGGTCGATCAGCAGTGCGTGGTTTAGCTGTGTATCCTCAAGGCCACAAAGTTAAGGACATCCATCAATACATAAACAACGGAGTAAGGGGTGGTTTTGCTCCCCTCACTGATAAAGAGATCTATTGGTTCATCGCCCACAATTCTAAGCCCACAAGTGAGTTCTTTTCACCATTTTTGAGTGTTGGCTTCATTGATAGAATTAGGGCTGCCAATGGGTCGGGTCTATCCGGTGGACCTGAATCGATTGAACCAATTATAACGGTTCTGGTTCCACTAATAGTTTTTTAGCATTTTTATTAAGGTTATATGATCAAAATTTAAATATATAAGTTACTATATAAATAAAAAAATATAATTTTTAATATAATCAAGTCTATCGGGTCAGATACAAGGACAATTTTGGTCTATAATTTTGTCTTGATAAGTAATTGGTTTGGGGTTGATTTTACCTAGACCCGATCCATTGACAGCCTTAGAGAGAATTATAATTCAACCCAACCATCTAATAATTGGCTCCCACGTCACCAATAATCAATTGTTTGCCCAACATATTTGCCAGGTGGAGGCATGGAAGCGGACCCTCGCCAGATACAGCAGGACGTGATAGAGAATTCAGCCAAGGACTTCCCTTCAGAGTACTTGGAGGTGGTCAGGCATGCTGAGCTTTCTACTTTGTCATTAGCCCCATTGATGTTCAGGTTTCCATGGGACCTAATATTTGGAAAAGTATTCAAGGGGAACATCACAGTCGCAGGTGATGCAATGCACCCTATGACACCTGATCTTGGCCAAGGTGGTTGTGCTGCGCTTGAGGATGCAGTCGTCCTTGGGCGACATTTGGGGAATTTGCTTCTCCAGCACGGGAGAATCGCTCCAGGAGAGGTGGCTGGGGCCTTAGAGAGATACACCAAGGAGAGGAGATGGAGAGCCGCTGGTTTGATCATGGGGTCCTACATTTCTGGATGGGTCCAACAATTGGGGTCAGGATGGTTGATGAAGTTCCTTAGGGATACCGTCTTCTATGGATTTTTGTTCAGTAAGATTGTTGATATAGATTATGACTGTGGTGAGTTGCCTCATTTTCCCCTCTCTGTTGGCTCTCAGACCAAGATTGATTAGGTGTTTTTTGAACTAGACACACTCTGCAACTGGTTATTCTTATGCTATTATTAATGGGGTCCCATCAAGATACCGTCTTTATTGTTGATGATACATTCTGCACATCACAATGGACAAGTCTTTCAAGTTCAGTTTGGTTGCCATGTGATACAAATAGAACAGCTCATAGGCTTGCTAACTTGGGTCTTTCCTCAAGTCTTTGGTTGGAGAACCGGTTCCTTTGTAATTGATTTTCTTGGGTTTTAGATCCTGGCACAGCTAGTTAAGTTGTTTTGTTTTTTCTCTTTTTATTGCCTTGTCTATGCTTTGTACTTTTTGTTAGTAGTAACTTGTTGTTTGGTTTAGTACTAGTTAGCTAGATCTCATTAATTTCTCACTGTGAACGAACTGATACATTATTCTATATATGATGTTTATTCGGAATGGTGGTAGAATCAATTTTTGCATAAATCGTGATGCATAAACAGTATCCATGGCCAGAAAAAAAAAGAACAAATTGATTTATACGGGTCTGGAATTTGGAATGGGTTATTCTGATTCTAATTGTTTGGTTGAGTTGAATCAGAATTCAATTCCCAATCCTGCTGGAATGACATTCCTCCGTTTGAATGGCCATTCCTTACCTTTCCCTTATGAATGAAATTTCATTCCTACTGATTTCAATTCCATTTCTATTCTTGTCTAAACCAAACAAATTATGGGAATAGATCATTTCGATTTTAATTTTAAAAGATTTTGATTACGATTCCAATTCTCTAACTGCAAACCAAACAGACCCTAAATAACGTTATATCAGGTCAACTAAAAGAATGATAAAAGACTAACTATTACAGATATTTCTCTGATAAACTACACTCTCCATCCGAGGACCTTGAGCAACCCACGAATTCCAATCAAAGGAACGGGAACACGATTAACAGTCCTAAAGGTTATGATTCTAAATCTTGATGTCCAAGATAATATATGTCACACACACCTCAATGCCGATGGCCGAGTTTCTGCCATTTATACTTGAGATAAGGTCTTGGTAATCGGACTCTACCAAAATTATGGATGCCAGTACTCCTTAAGGCTTTAGCTAAACCTTGACCAAATGCCGAGGCTTCTAATATGAGAACTGATCATGACGAAGCACCCTCAATCATCAAATCTCCTGTGGTTGATCGGATGATATGAAACCAATTGTTGCTCTTGGCCCACTGCATCTAGGGGTTTAAGTGAGTTGATTCTACTCGTGTGTTATCGGGCTCGGCTTGCTAAATACTCAAGCTTGCGGTAATTAAGTTCGAGTCAAGTTCGACTTGAGCAAAGTTGTTGGTCGAGTTAAGTTTGAGGTTCATAATACCCAGTTCCAAGGTTTTTAAAAGCGAACCGGACAATGAACCATTTAAGGGTCCAAATCCTGGGTCGAATGGTCTGACCATTCGAGTCAATTTTTATTTATAATTGGCTTATTAATAATATAAATTTATCTATAATATAAATACATGAATTTATAATTGATTTCATAGTATATTTTTATTTACAGTATTTATAATATTAATTTATCTATAACTATTTAATACATTTATTTTTAATTTTTATACTAATTTATTTATTATTGGCTCAAGTTGAACCGAGCTCAAATAACTTGCATTGCGGCTCAAATCGAGTTCAAACCAAGGATTAAGGTATCAATACAATACTCCCGATATGGGGCATATCGTATCCATATCTATGGTCATGGATACGGGATACGCCATAATTGGATACATATCTCACAAGTCGTGTGTATCGGCACGGTACGCCTCCATATTGGGTCGTATCACATCGTATCGGTGGATACAGTCGATACACATCGATACGGAGGCATATCCATGCCTAGTTTGACAAAACTGTATATTGACTACTTTTGGATTGTTTTTCATCTTTAATAAAAATTAAAAAATAGTATTATGAAAACTGAAATAAATAATTTAAGATTTATTTTTCCAAAAATTTTAATAAAAACAAAAAATTATAAAAATAATATATTTCATCTATCTTAGATGATTTATATATTTTATTTTGCACATAATAATATGTTAAAAATGAAAACATAGTTATTATTTGAAAAAAATAGAATTATTATATAAAAATACTAGATAAATAAAATTTCCCAACAAAATTAATCTAAAACAGAAAATTATAATTATAAAAATTGAAATGAATAATTTAAGATTTAATTTCCCCAAAAAATTAATAAAAACTGAAAATTATAAATAATTTATTTTATCTACCTTAAATGACTTATTTGTTTTATTTTACAATCATATGTAAAATAAAAATATTATATATTAAAAATGAAAACATATTTATTATTTAAAAAAGAGTTGTTATTTAAATAAAAATACTAGATTAATAAATATTCCCAAAAATTAATAAAATTTAAAATCATATGATTATAAAAATTGAAAGAGTGATAATTATTGTATGATGTTTGAATGTTCTAAAGTCCCTTTATAGTTTACTGTAATATTTCTCTTCATATAACCTATTGAAGTATGCATTTCTCATGTGTTTATATATTATTCATAGGTAATTCAGCTTTTGGTTTAGTATTATTAATATATTTATGTGATTTGTATGCATTTCCTTAGCGTATCCAAGTGTTTTTATATCTTTAATTCTTATCTATGCATTTCCAAAACATATCCGTATCCGATTTATTTGATACAATACGTAATACTGATACTTTAATCCTTGGTTCAAACCAAATACATGAAACTCAATTGAGCTCAAATCAAATACTTTAATCCTTGGTTCAAGCCTAATTCTCATATCAACAAATTACACCCCCACCTGTATGGTGTATCTTAGTTATCTTTAAAAAGCTTAAAGGAGGTTTTACCCAAGAGTCCAAATCTACTGACCACAATACACTGTTGGCCACGCTCATCCAACTGCACATTGGAAATATCGGTGATACAAAGTGGGAAATATCAGTAATATAAAGTACAACGGATATTCTAGATGTGTATGACTGGGTGAAAATAGCCAGCAATGTATTGAGATCAGCAGACCCAAACTCTTTACTCTTGACTCCATGGGCCCCTGAATTTTAGTCAACCTCTTGGCAATCTAAGGGCTCGGCCTGCAATCTTCCAGCTCTCAATGACATTAACTTGCATCTCCTGAGTACCTTGATTAACCAAAACTCGTTCTTAGGTGCCAAATCAATGAACACATGATTGACATTAGTAAAATGTCAAAGAACCATTAGTATGTTACAATGCTGTTCGATGAAATGTCTAAATGGACTCAGTTCAGAAAGTTCCTCCCCGACACACTTCCTATCTACCTAGCTTGGAAAGGTTGGTCCCTTGCAAAGAAAGAAAAAAAAAAAAAAGGAAAAAAAGAAAGTCTTGCATAATACACAATGGTCAATGGACAAACAAAATAAAATAAAAAAAAACCCCATTTGATAATGAAGCATCAAGACAAAGATAACAACATCATAAACCAAAGATAAAAGCCGAATCTAAAGGTACATAATAAGTAACAAATATAACTAAGGCGTTGTTCTTTTGATCAGTTTTCAACCTCTAATGTCTTAAAAGTAAATGACTTCAGGCATCAGAATATTCTTTTTAATCCCTCCTATTTTTCAAATATCGGACGTGAAACTTGACAACATTTTTATTATTTGTCTCCAAAGTTCCCTTTATTCATTATTTGTTATTAGTAACATTTTTACTAAAAACTTTATAAATAATAATTCTAAAATGTTATTTTAATAATAATAAAATATTACTTAGTAGTATATAATAATTTTTATTATTTAATTATTTATTGTTAAAATACTAGTATTTTTTATTATCATTATTTATTATTATTTATATTTTTAATATTAAGTTTATTCTAAAAAATAACTATTAATATTAATGTTATAATTAACATAAATATCCATTTTCATAATCAATTATGGGGAATAAAATAACCATATTTAGCATTCGTCATTTAGGCTTCAGGTTAACATTTTATGCATTCAAAACTTTGATTGTGGGCTCTTATCTGCGATATAGGTCAAACACTTAGGCTCACTGCTGGTCGAATTTCATTAAACCAACAATCTTCTCTTGGGGTTTCAACTACTACATCTCCGGTGTAATACATTATGGGCTCGTTTGGTTTGCTAGAATAGGGGCTGGAATGGGATTGGGTGGAATTAGAATCTTATTCCTGTTTCTGGTGGAATGACATTTTTCTATTTGAGAGAATGGTCTTCTCTCTTGGAAATGAAACGCCATTTTAGTTTATTCTAATTTTCATTTCCATTCATGTCTAGATCAAATAGATTATGGAAATACACCATTTCAATTCCGCTGTAAACAAAACAGATCTTATGAGTTTATGACTGTGGGGAGGTGCTCACGTCTCCTGCTCCACTCAGGTTAAGATAGATCAGGGTTGTCTCTTTTGTATGAAGTTGAGGAGGTATGATGGTATGCCATTCTGTTAAATCAGATTTATTTCCTTCAGTTTGGAAAGAGTATAAATACAAATGTGTACAATATAAATACATAGAAAATAATACAAAATATAAGGTTTTATACTCTACAAATTCGTACTTATACTCCTTCTTCAAACTAACTTTAACAAAAAGTTATTATATTACTTTAACAAAAAAGTTATTATATTACAATAAGATCATTCTAATAAAAAGGAAGTGACCGAACCAACCCAATCCCAACCCACTCCTGATCATTGGGTTGGCCACAACCCGACCTAATCCGGCTTGCACCCTATCACAAATGTCTCGCGATTCCAATTCCCTTTTTAGTGGAGGACGCACTTTATCTATTGATTCTATTCGATCTGATAGACCTAATAATAGCAGATGCAAATGAATCAGATGGGCAAAGACACTTACTGAAGTCTCTAATATGAAATCAGAGAATTAATATATGACCCAAGCAGGCTGCGGTACCGAGAGAAGTTTTTCACATCTCCAAAAACAATCGAAGGATTAAGGGGGTTTTATTAGGGATGGCAATTTTTTCCATATCTCCGATCCCCGTTCCCCTGAATGGGGCGGGGATAGGGAGGATTTACCCCCACGGGGACGGGGATGGGGAAATTTTTATCCCCATTAGCGGAGACGGGGATGATTTTCATCCCATATTTAAAGTATTAACTCTTGTTGATTTCTGGAATTTTCTTGGCTAAAACATCATTCATTTTGAATTTGTACATTCTTCATTTTGGGGGCAAAGAATGTAATTTCAAAACTACTATGTAGTTTATTCAATTCCCTCATTAAATCCCATATTTAAAGTATTAACTCCTTGATAAGCCACGAAGGTCACTGAGAACACCCATGAGGAATAATCCCAAATACGTCAATTAACGTCCCATGCATGGCCCAGACGTGGCATCACGGCTGCTTCATTTTCTTATCAGTTATTTCTG